GACAAACCAGATTTTGGACGCCTTGTCCGCGTCCGATGCGCCCATCCTTTCCAGCGATGCCTTCCCCTCCACCCCCTCATTGAACGTTAAGAGTGCGCTCGATCGCCTTGATTCCCGCCAGATGGTCGAATATGAGACCCTAGAGAAGGAAATCGTCACTCTCACTGCTGAGGGCCAGGAGATTGCCACCAATGGCAGTCACGAGGCCAAGGTCTTCGCCGTGGTGCTTGCTGCTATGGACGGGTTGAAGATCTCCGACTTGCCCGGAATTGTGGGCAAGGAGAATGCTAAAGTTGGCCAAGGAAACGCCTTCAAGCGTGGCTGGATTAAGAAGGACAAGGATTTGCTGCGGGCATCCGCAGACTCAATTGTCGACGAGACGCAACAGCAACTGCTTGCCGTTCAAAAAACAAAGACTCTGGAGGATAAAAAGGTCCTGGCTGACCTCAAGCGGAGAAAGTTGATCGGTCTGGCAAAGGAGATTAATTTCAAGATCACCAAGGGTCCCAAGTATGCCCGGGAATTTGTCAAGGAGCAGACCGACCTCACTCCGGAGATGATTGCCAGTGGCTCGTGGAAGACGGCGCACCTCAAGCCCTACAACTTCAATGCTAAGGGCGCCCCAACTCCATCTGGTACACTACACCCGCTGAACAAGGTCCGCCAAGAGTTCCGCAACATCTTCTTCGACATGGGTTTCGAGGAGATGCCCACCAACCGCTTTGTCGAGACCGGTTTCTGGAACTTCGACGCTTTGTTCGTGCCCCAGCAACACCCCGCCCGTGATCTCCAGGATACTTTCTACATCTCCGACCCTGCTGTGGCAGACAGTCCTCGAGAGGATCCCCCCAATGACCCCCACCGCCCCGCGCAACTAAAGTCCGAGAAGCCCCTCGACTACAAGAAGTACTGGGACAACGTCCGCGAGGTTCACGAGCACGGAAAGTTCGGCTCCATTGGCTACCGCTACCCCTGGAGCGCAGATGAGTCCCTCCGTCTGGTGCTCCGCACCCACACCACCTCCATCTCGACCTACATGCTGCACAAGCTGGCCGCCAACCCCCGGCCCGCTCGCTTCTTCAGTATCGATCGTGTCTTCCGAAATGAGTCCGTCGATGCTACTCATCTGGCAGAGTTCCACCAGGTCGAGGGTGTCATTGCTGACTTCGGTCTGACCCTTGGTGGTCTGATTGGATTCATGGAGGTCTTCTTCGCTAAGATGGGCATCCACAAGCTGCGCTTCAAGCCTGCCTACAACCCTTACACTGAACCTAGTATGGAGATCTTCGGCTACCACGACGGTCTGGGCAAGTGGGTTGAGATCGGTAACAGTGGTATGTTCCGTCCGGAGATGCTGGAGGCTATGGGTCTGCCTAAGGACCTGAGAGTCTACGGATGGGGATTGAGTCTGGAGAGACCTACTATGATCAAGTACGTTGCACCATCTACCATTTATTTTCGTTTACTAATATCTTTTAGGTATGCCGTCAGCAACATTCGTGAGCTCCTCGGTCACAAGGTCGATCTGAACTTCATTGAGACCAACCCGGCCGTTCGTCTTGAGAAGGATTAAACATGGAAATACACATAGAGAAAAACAAAAAAGAACGTGCTTTTAGTTGTGTCTTGCTTATGGGGGTTTCCCGCTTGCAATCACGAGTTTATGTGGAAGGAAACGTATTACATATCAACGATGGACAGGATGTGAATAAAATACTTGATAAAACGAATTCAGCGTAGCCAACGTAGCCAGTCAATGTAGAGACAATTGAGAAAGAAGCAGACTGTCAGAATGATATTCATCTAGCATGTGTCTACAATGGATGTCCTGCCCGTATCTGTGCCCCAGTGCATGGATCTCTGCAGCAATGGCTCTTCAGCAGGCAAAGCTCGGAAGCATAATCTTCGGCAATGAAAAGTATTTCTACCTCCTCACTCATGGAGTTGGAGACAACGAAGACCAAGACCAGCGAACCAGTCTGGTTTTCTGAGTCTACAAAGAATGAGGAAGCCTTGATATACCGAGAAGGTAAAGGAATAAAGAAATAGGAAACAGGCAGAGACTAAGAAATATATGAAAGGGATATCGTTTCGATTTTTTGGCATTGCTTTTTTTGGTTTGTGCTTCATGAGGTTGGGTGGGAGTCTATCACAGAAAGAGAACAGGCGGGATTCGTAGAGGAAAAAAACCTGACCCATTAAATCGTCGATATTCCATTCATTTCGAGAGATAGGTAGGAAAACAGGAGTTTCTCAGAGGAGAAAAATAAAAAAATTGAACTAAGGAACATAACTATATCCCTTGCGTCCTTTTTTTGGTCTTGAAACCAACTCCCTGAACACGGACCATCAAGCCACGGTTCCTCTGCGACAAATTAGCCTTGGAACATGAAACATGCAGGATGTATGTAGATCATTATAACGTACCATCAAATCAACCCGTCAACACCACCCGGTAAAAAAAACCACATTGCTGCGGATGATTTAGCGCTGGCTGGAGGCGGTCCAGACGTTCTTGAGGTATCCATCACGCTGGGCCAGGCGGTTGAAGGAGTCATCGCTCTCGCCGCGGGCACGGATGAAGCCGCAAAGAGCGTAGGTCTGGTTCTCGCCGGTGTAGCGGCCGTTCTCGTCAACCTTGCCGACGGAGAGCTGGACGGAGGCGTGGTCGTTGGCCTTGATGATGCGGTTGGTGGCGCTGCACTTGCGGGGCACGTAGCTGTTGAGAGGAAGATCATGTTAGTTGGTTGGCTTCTTTTTTGGAGTTTTGCGAGTGAATGTGTTCCCCTCCAATACCCTGTGTCCTGGTTTTTTTTCTGGTGGCTCGCCAACGATCGCAATCAAGCGGCGCTGTAGATTTTCTTTTTCAATCCTCGCAGTCTCCGATCACATTGGGTCCATTTCTTTCGGTTGGGATCGAAGTGGGATTGCTGATAGTATGCGGCCACGCAGACACAGGGCACAGGGTATATTGGGACTGGGAGAACGGGTGTAAATTCCATGGCACGTACAGATCGACGATCTCTCCCTTTTCGTTCTCCATTTTGGCGGGTTTGGTGTTGAGGTTTTGACGGGCGACGGTGAGGTTGGAGGTGGAGGGTTTTTCTGCCGCACATTAAATTGAAGACCTCAAATGATTTGTGTGGGTCATGTGACCCTTTGTCGAGGGCTGGCGTGGCCGAAGTGGGGCAAGCGTGGCTTTAGTGGCGAACATACTTGAGGCCGTGGCAATTTCAACTCTAATATTCATATCGATTGCTGGATACATCTATGTAGGGCTGGTTGTGCTATGGGTAAATGTATGTATTTTACAGGTTACTCTTTCCCCTTTCTTCCTGTAACACATCCTTCTTCCATCCCACAGCCACCTCTCGTGCACTTCCCTTTTTAAACCGCACAAGAACCACTCTTTCGGACTCGCCTCGCTTGGAAGACCCTTTCAGCTCAGGTCCGGGATCATTCAGACCTAACACAGATCGTCCATCGCTGGTCATGAGAAGCATTTTGGGAGATATGCATTTATCTGTCCATGGGGGGGATCCCGAATGGACGAACTCGACAAGCGCTTGACGACGCTTCTCCATCTCTTCCACAGAAGCATCTGTACGAGGCACCCTGTCCAGGAATCCTGACACCAAATGCAAAAGAAGGAACTGAGGTGGGAATAGGATAATTTCTGCCTTTTGGGCACGACTAACCCACTCTGAGGCTGGAAGAAACTGTGCCTCCGTAACCTCGATTCCCCCATCGCTCGTTGGAATCTGGTGCTCCTCGTGCTCGCCCTCTGATGGGAGTTGGTCGAGGAGCTTCTTATCCACGTTTACAGGTAAAGGCAAGAAATACAGATACATCTGAGTGGTGTATCGCTTGGGGACATTGGTAGGCGTAACCCAACGAGTAAAGGGAATTAATTGACCTGTAAAGTCAGCGTGCTGCTTTCAAATCTCAATTACACGAGCTAGGCACTTACCTATATCAGGCTCTGCATCAGCACTTTGTTCCTTTAGCCATTCATCAAAGGTGGTCTTGTTCTGATGAATGAGTCGTCTGCCTGCCTCTCGGGTAGGCTCGTCGAAGGCAAGCATCTTCCCGGAGTTCCGGTCTTTAGCTAGAAGAATTCCACTTTCTTCAAACAGTTCCCTTATCGCCGCACGTCGGTAACTAGGGGAATCTTCATGCCGTGCGAGGTCTTCGGGTGGTGGACATTCACCATCTTGGCTGGATAGGTTGCCACCTGGAAAGACATGCGCAGAGGCAAAAGAGGTAGAGGTCTTCACGCGATGAAGAAGAAGGATCTCGTTCTTTGGAGATATCAGAAGCACGCTATATAATAGTTAGTTTTTACTATTTTTGGAATGCCTCCCTGGCGACATCACCAGTCATATGGTCCCTTGCTGTTGCCTTACCTGGAACTAGGCCGGGGCACCGCAGGCTCACGATCACGTTTTGTGCTAGACATCTTCTGAGAATTGGAAGAAATTCTAGTCGTGTATTGTCTCAAAGCAGATTTACTGCTCGGGCGCTGAAATGACTGAACCGAGGCAATATGCGTTGCACGAGATGTCCGAAAAACAAGATCAACGGCAGATCGACGACCCAATCGTTGTGATAAGTGACGAGAAATAGATCCTTGACAAACAAAAGACATTGTGATCTCGAAGCCGTTCCTCGGCTTCTCAATATAGTAAAAGGCAAAGACCCGAGAGCCTAGGCAGTTCCTCGGTACCCCGCGTGTAGCTTAACCTCATCGAGCTTAGCCGAATGCAGCGCCATGTGCTTGGGCAACCTTCTACGAACCCTCTACGTTACGTTTACAATTGGAATAGATTGAGAGAAAAATAAAACGTGTATGCTCATTACCAGAAATGGCGTAAATCTTCAAATCGTAAACTCCTATCCTATACCCTTATTTTAATTTTCAAGGCCTCATCATCTATCGGGGTCACCCCAATAGATGTATTCACAAAAGAGGTCCAGTCAACTCTTAGAAAGCTTGGATCTTACGAGTAAAGCTTCTTGTCGTAGCTGTGGAGACCGTGGACGTTACCCTCGGTCATAGCACTGGCACTTCGCATCTCGAAACGCACGGTGCCGTTGTTGACACCATCGTGCATAGCGGTCAGACTCTGGACACCAATGTCCTGCAGGGAGTGCTGGACACCGGCAATGAGGTAAGGAATGAACTTGGTGACGGATCCGCGGTCAAGAACGGAGCCAGCGACACCCTGGGCAACGAGGACACGGTCCTTCTCGGAGAAGTAGCGGGCAGTACCAGCGTTGCTGGCCTTGCTGTCCTTTCCGTCACCACCGGCCTTCTTATCCTCCATGGCGGCGATACTGCCCATGCCACGGTAGGCCTTGACGAGCTGGCCCTCGTTGCTGACGTAGTACTCACCGGGGGACTCGGTGGTACCGGCAAGGAGACCGCCCATCATGATAGTGCTGGCACCCATGGCAAGACCCTTGACGATGTGGCCGACGTTCTGGATACCACCATCGGCGATACAGGGAACACCGAAGCGAGCGGCGAAGGTTGCAACGCTGCGCACGGAAGCAGCCTGGGGACGACCAACAGCCATGACCTCCTGGGTGATACAAGCACTACCGCTGCCCATACCAATTCTCAGGCCATCGACACCGGCGGCAATCAAAGCAGCAGCCTGCTCACGGGTAACAACGTTACCACCGATAACGTCGATCTCGGGCATATTCTTCTTAATGTACTTGATCATCTCGATCTGGTACATAGAGTTACCCTGGCTAGAGTCCAGAATAACAATGTCCAAGCCAGCCTCAACAAGAAGCTGGAGACGCTTCTTGTCCTCCTCGCGAGTACCAATGGCAGCGGCGGCGATCAGCTGCTTGGAGTCAGGGAGCTTGGAAGCCAGAGGGTAGTGGAGGTTCTTCATCAGATCAGAACGGGAAAGCAGGGAGACGATGTTGCCGTTGGCATCGACAATGGGGAGCTTTCCCTTCTTGGACCGACGGAGGACCTCGTTGGCCTCGGCGAGGGTGGTGCCGGCCGGGGCAGTAACAAGATCCGTGGCCATGATGGCAGTCACGGGTTCGTCGAGATCAGTGTGGAACTGAATGTCACGCGAGGTAACCATTCCAACGAGCTTGGACTTGAGCGTTCCGTTCTCTATGTTCAAACATTAGCATTTGCTGCTGAAAGCTTATGTGAGGACAATATCCAAAGTAGACAAATTGCTCAGATAAAATCTGGTTCTCTACAGTGCAACTTTCGTTGCTGCAGTGGAACGAAAGTTATAATTAAAAGAGGATGATCATCATGCAAAGTGGGTGTGGTAGGTGCTGGGAGAAGTAGATGTGGGTATCTTACCAGTGACAGGGAAGCCACCGAAGCCCCACTTGGTCTTGAGGTCTTTGGCCTCACCAACGGTGGTCTTGGGGGAGATGACAACGGGATCCAAGATGAAACCGTTCTCGTATCTCTTAACCTTGCGGACCATCTCCGCCTGATCCTCGGGGGAGCAGTTGTGGTGAATGACACCCAGGCCACCGAGCAGAGCCATGTGGATAGCCATGTTGTGCTCGGTGACAGTGTCCATGGGAGAGGACAGAAGGGGGGCCTTCAGGGAGATACGCTTAGTAACAGGGGTATCCAGGGAGACATCGGAGGCGGGGAAGCCTGTATAGGTCAGAAAATGTCAGATTTTTTTTTTTTTTTACTGCGGGGTTCGGCTTACCGATGTAACCGGGCAGGATCAGGAAATCATTGTAGGTCAATGCACCGTGCTTGTCAGAGTCAAGCAGGGTATCCGCATCAAGGCCATCACGGGTGGTGTAGGTATCCAAAACCTCCAAGGCCTTGGCGTAGTCGGTGATCTCAGCCTTCATGGCGGCACCAGGTGCTGCGTCACCAGCGGTGATAGGCATGGTTTAAATAAAGAGATGTTAAAGTAACGAGTGAGACACGACCCGAGGGAAATCTTAATCAACAGAAAGAAACGTTCTGCTGATGGAGAAAGTCGAGCTTTCCCAAGGAAGAGAAAGAAGAAGAAAAAGGTCGAGCGAAAAATTGTTTCCTTTTCTCTTCCGTGCACGGCCAAGCCAGAAGGGAGCTTGTCTATTTCAGGTATAGCGTACCAGTTTTTTCACCGTTCGTTCTTCTTATTGGCTGGTAAACGAGATCTCCGGAGGCGGTGAGCTTGTTTATGCTTAGATATACATAGATGCAGGTACATCGGTACCACCATGTAGATGGTGCTAAAATTTCCTTCAATAAATTAATGTAACGTTGTTAGGTGTGATTGTAATGTGCACTCTTCTTGTGAAATATACTTTCCCAGTGAGCTGCACGTAAATATTCATTGCAACACAGCACGATTTTTGAATTTGGTAGTTATGATCCAATGTCAGTTGGTTACAAGTACCAGGGTGCCATTCTTAATTCCTATATGAAGCCATGAACGAACGAAAATACAGGTTTTATTGACATGGTTGGCACTGCAACAAAGCATTAATCTCCCTAGTTACCGGCTTCAAGTCCCGTACGCCTCTGTAGCAGTATGACGACAGAATGTTAGTAACAAATACAGCAAACATAGCCTCTTAAAGGCAGCACAGCTTTATCCAATTCTCCTAAACATCATTTCTCACTTCTGTTATCGGTATGGAATCTTCTATGAGTGAACATGGCACGTTCAAGCCTGCACCGGCGGCACAGTCTCAGAACAAGCCGGGGTGAGTAATGCTTTTACCCGAGTGGAATATATCTACTAAGATAATGTGCTAGGTTGGAGAGCATAATGACAGAGCCCAGTGAGTCGACCAAACTAAAGGGCCTTCACGGCTTTGCTGAATATGCCGGTTCCGGAAATTTGAAGGGCAAAAACGCTCTAATCACTGGCGGCGAGTATGTGTAGCAAGTTCGCAGGAATAAACTCACGCGGTTAATTATTTCCTAGTTCTGGGATTGGACGGTCAATTGCTATTATAATGGCCAGAGAGGGTGCGGGTATTACTATCGTTTATTTGCCCTCAGAACAGCCAGACGCAGAGACAACCAAGAACTCTGTTGAGCAAGAGAAGAGGACTTGCCTTCTTATCCCAGGTGATTTGAGAGATCGCAACCAGTGTCGTCGCAGAGTGGATGAACATGTGAAGAAGTCAGCCTGGATTACTTTCCTGGTATTAATAAATGACTGACCAAGAGAGTCTACAGGTACGGCACGGTTGACATATTTGTCAATAATGCGTCGAAACAGTACCTATGTACGACATTTGAGAATATCGATCTGGAAAAGACCGAAGACATCTTCAGAGCCAATATCGTCCAAATGATTGCGATGGCGAAGTTTGCTCTTCCTCATATGACACGAGGTGATTCGTGGGTGCTTTCTGTCTAACCTATATGATCGTATACTCATGCACTTGCTACAGGATCATCAATACTTCTTCGGTTGTGACTTTTCGTGGATCGGGTACCATGATTGATTATGCCGCGACCAAAGGAGCTATCATTGGATTTACTAGGTCTTTGGGGACATACTTGATTCCCAAGGGTATTCGAGTCAATGCAGTCGCGTGAGGATCATACATTCCTATCTCTTTAAAGGTAGATACTGACTGGTCTCCAATTTCAGTCCAGGTGCAATCTATACACCAATTCAAGTCGACACCCGAAATCCCGAACAGATGGAAGGATGGGGTCACAAGGCTGGTCTTGGCCCACTAGGTAAGCCTAGTGAGGTTGCAACAAGTTTCGTCTTCTTGGCTAGAGCGGATGCTTCTCTGTATTGTGAGTGGTTAATATTACACAACTGCAAATCCCCACCATTTTGTTTTATTGTGGCTGATATAGGAAAACTACGCATGTGCAGATGGGCAAGTGCTGCACTGTTACCCGCTTGGTGACTAAATAGTGTAACAGGGAGTGGTATCTGCTGGTGGAAATATTGCCGGAACATCGTGCTGACGTGTGCTTGCCATTGGTATCAAATTAAAGCTCAACGGAATATAAAATCAGTACAGAAGCCACGGCTTCCCTGCAGTGAGAGCCTTGTCCCATCCCTCGTCATTCTGCCAGATAGCAACACTCTCGACCTCCTCTCTGCCCAGTTTGAGTCCATTGTAGAGATGCTAGATTTTTTTCTGTCAGTAAATTTCAATTTCAGACGGAAATATACAACTTACTGGGAATAGTCCTTCTCCGGGTCGGGGACCAGACACTTTCCCGTCTGGGGACTCCCAGCGGATATCTTGGATCACACGATGATACTCGATCCGCAATATATATACAAGTGGTTCTTCCGTGAAAAATGCTTTCAATGTGCCTCCAACCTGATGCGCCATGGAGAGGTGGATGAAGCCATCGGCCTGGTCCAGTTCGCTTACCGCGAGCCGCTCAGGAATTGGCTCGCGGACTGGTGCGGTGGAAGGCACAATCTTGTAGATGTAGCGAGGCTGAGAAAGTAGCGAAGCCATGATAAAAGTGATGGAAGGAAGCAAGTTTATTCACCGAGTGCCCAGGTGGTGATATATAATTATTAATAAGGACAGAAACAAAGTTTTGTCAGGTGGTCTCATTTCCAAGGTTGTTAGCGGGGTCGGTTCAACCGGCAACTTCCCTTTCAAACGCCCTGGGGATTATTACGCCCTTTTTTTTGTTGCTTGTCTGCTTCAACCCTACTTGTTCAAATCGACATGCAAGGAAATTTATACATATGTAATATATTGAACTTGGTTTGTGAGTAGTATTGTCTGTAATGCTGGATGGATATAAAGATGCGTTTCGAATAAGCATTGCGGGAATATATCTCTGGAGAACGCGCAGGATATAGAACACCGAAATCGCTTAATATTCTCCAAGTATGCCTTAAATGCCATCCTCAGCTTCCAGGAAGCTTGTTTGATTTACACCAAGTTTATCTCAGTATTCCATTGTTATAGCCCTGGAGATCTATGGATATTTAGCAACAACGTAGATCTTGACACAATATAAGAGTATCGAGTACAATACTTTAGTGGAGAAAAGCCCCCGAAAAAGAGTCAAGTCTCTATCAGAAGCAATCAAAGCCTTAAGGCACCAGCGAGTACGGAGTATGCATATACATATTAGTTGGCAGTCCACAACGTACTCGGTGATCTAAGGTCGAAAGCTGCCCAGGTGTGTTGGTCGCACGGGACTACGAGCCCACTTAAACCTGGGTAATTGCACAAGCCACCTTTGCCAAGACCGCAGGTATGCTACTACGTCCGATATTGAGATTGGAAGGAATGCTTAGCATATCGAGCAATTGACCTTTAGGGACTTCGCCAATTTCGAATAATTCAAAATGATGATTAGTAAGTAACAGATCCATGTCAAATGTGTGACTTGTCGAGTAACACAATCTCTTAGTTCTTGATATCACGTGACCCAAGATCGACAAGCCACAATCACCTGATGGCGCCATACCCGATCTGGAGATTTGTTGTGCCCCCTGCGCCCACTTTGGGGAATCTTGGTCGCACTTGCACCCCCACCGTCAACAATTCCATCATCAGGGATCCACGAGCCCAGACCTTATTGAAACAAGTCTCACATCAGTTGATTGGATTTTCTTCGCAGTGAAGTCATGGGAGGTTGCCCTTGAATGCTATCCAAGCTAGAACATCTCTCTGGAAAAGGTCTTGGAGACCTTGTTTGACTCGCGCATTCCGCATCTACCACCAGAGCAGGGATGCGGTTAAAGGAGCGCGACATTTTTCAATCCAATTTTGCATACCGTCCTGAGATTAAATGATGTCGACTCAATTTCCATCCCTCAAGCGGGCCCAGACGGACCTTCCCTCGCAGTCCACTGGTCCGTTACGACACGGGTCGACAGCGTCCACGAACTCGTCTGCATATTCCATCGCCTCAAGCTCGTTTGCCCCTAGTCGGACTAGCACCGTTTCATCTAATGCATCGACATCACACAAGTTGGGTCACTTCCGAGGGAAGAGTGAGGCAAGCAGTATAAGCTCAGGAACGACTGTTACAGACGCAATGGAACGAGGAAATTGGTCAAATGCTGGTACAGCGTACGACAATATTCGCCGATCTCTCCGACCACTACCACAAGCCCCCAATCCTTCACCCTCACCCGCGAATACTGGCGGGTACCGACATTCACGAAGCCAAACAATCAATGAATCACGCCCGTGGAAGGACCACCGACCCAGCACCCCCGAATCGCGTAATCTCCATCTTAAAGAAAATTTGTCTCCGCGGGAAAATCTGTCTCCACGTCAGCAAACACACACCTACGAGCCACAGAGCCCACCACCGCCTACCTCTCCCCGCAACTGGTCTCCTGTGCCCGGAACATCGCGTCCTTCGTCTCCCCAAAAGACATTGCCTCACAGTACTCACCCCCCGCAGCTGACTGCTGCACTCTCCGCACCCGAACTTGAAACATTGCAAAAATCATCCACGGGTCATCTCAGAACTCTCTCCAAGTTTGCACAGTCCGGTGAAAACGAATTCGGCGCGGCCGCAGCCTCTGTGGTGGGCTTACAAGGCCGACGGAGGCTTAAGCGAGCAGACTCTGTAGCCGGAAGAAATGGCGCAATATCTCCCGAAAAACCGAAGGCGTCCTCCTGGACAGCCGGAAATTGGATGGACCAGCAGCGACAATTCATCCAAGCATACGAGTATTTGTGTCATATCGGAGAAGCCAAACAGTGGATTGAAGATGTAATTCAAAAGCAAATTCCGCCAATCGTTCAGCTGGAGGAAGGACTGCGAGACGGCGTCACTTTGGCGGAGGTGGTGCAAGCAATGTATGCGGGCAAAGCACTTCGCATTTTCCGACACCCCAAGTTACAATATCGCCATTCCGACAATATCGCCTTGTTTTTCCGTTTCCTTGATGAGATTGAGTTACCAGAATTGTTTCGATTTGAACTCATCGACTTGTATGAAAAGAAAAACATCCCCAAGGTCATACACTGCATTCACGCGTTGTCATGGTTGCTCTTCAAAAATGGCATGCTAGACTTCCGAATGGGTAACTTGGTTGGTCAGCTTGAGTTTGAACACCACGAACTTGAGAAAACCCAAAAAGGACTGGACAAGGCTGGTGTGAGCATGCCTAGCTTTGCAGGTATGGCTGCAAACTTTGGCGCGGAACCAGAACCGGAACCCGAGCCCGTTGAATCGGAGGAGGAGCGTATTGATCGAGAGCTACACGAAAATGAAGCTTCAATCTGTGATTTCCAGGCTCAAATCAGAGGAGCGATGATGCGTTTGAAGCTTGGCAACACGATGAACGATCTGTGGGACTTTGAACCCCTCCTCATTGAGCTGCAGTCACGTCTGCGTGGAGATTGGGCACGGCAAATTAGTGAATACCGACTAAGCATGCTCCAGTTTGCGGTTGGGCTGCAGGCTATTAGTCGAGGCTTCATTGTACGTCGCGGTCAACAAGGTGACAAGCAATGGCGGCAATCCCAGGAAACAGATGTTCTGCACTTCCAGAACCTGATTCGGGGGTCCAGGGCTCGCGCACAGGCTAGTCAGCTACGAACTCTTGCGCGACGAGAAGAGTCTGGTATCAAGCAGATACAGGCCGCGATAAGAGGTGCATTGCAACGCATGAATGTTGGTGACCAATACGAAGAGTCTCGACATGCCGAAAATGACGTGAGATCACTTCAAGCTTTCATTCGTGGTGCCTTGCAACGCAAGGAGATTGAGGCTCAGTCTCAAGAGCTGAAACAAGTTGGCAGTTCCGTCAAGTCGCTCCAAGCTGCCATCCGTGGTACCTTACAACGACGAGGGATGAATGCCCAGTCCGAGGAGGTGAAGGAGGTTGGCAGCTCCGTCAAGTCGCTACAAGCAGCCATCCGCGGTACCTTGCAACGAAGACAAATGAAAGCTCAGTCTCAAGAGGTGCAGCGGGTTGGGAACTCCATCAAATCGCTCCAAGCTGCCATCCGCGGTACCTTGCAACGAAGACAGATGAGTGCCCACTCTCACGAGGTGAAACTAATTGAAACACCCGTCAAGTCGCTGCAGGCGGTAATTCGAGGATCGATTGCCCGTCAAAACCTGTCTCAGATGAAGGTTCTGCTCAACAATGAAGCATCCCAAATTATCTGCATTCAATCAACTATCAGGTCTCTGATTGCTCGACAACGCCAAACTCTGCTGCTGGAGGCACTAGAAGAAACAGAAAATGAATGTGCTGCATTGCAAGCTATCGCGCGGGCCGCTGCTGTAAGAAAAAACACCTCAGCCATTCTTTCCGAGCTTGCGGAGCATCTGTTGCCAGTGATCGACCTGCAGGCTATTCTCAGGGGACAGACATTGAGGGAATCATTGGATGTCCAGAGGACCGCATTGCTTGAGGAGGAACCTTCCATCTTGGAACTACAGTCTCGATCCCGTGGACTCATCCACAGGAACTATCTACTTGCACAACGGCATGAACTGGGGCAGCATGAACACGCCATTGTTGATCTGCAGGCCCTGGCTCGTGCTGCTATCTCACGAATGGAGGTGGGCGACATATTGTCTCAGCTTGAGGATAACGAGGAAGAAGTTGTTCAACTCCAATCTTTAAGTCGGGCAATGCTTGCGCGAGTTGAAGTTGGCGAGATCCTGACCGATCTTGAGGCAGAGGAGGACTTTATCACAGACTTCCAAGCACGCATCAGAGGACACATTGTATGCAACCGCTTTGAGGAAAGACGCCAGCATTATAATGAAAACATGGAGAAGGTAATCAAGGCCCAGAGTGTTATCCGAGCCCGCATCCAAGGTCAGGCTTATAAGAGCCTGACCAGCGGAAAGAATCCACCCGTTGGGACAGTCAAGGGGTTCGTGCACCTTCTCAACGACAGCGATTTCGACTTCGACGAAGAGATCGAGTTCGAGCGGCTGCGAAAGGCGGTTGTTCAACAAGTGCGACAAAATGAGCTTGCTGAACAGTACATCAGTCAACTTGATATCAAGATTGCCCTTCTTGTCAAGAACAAGATTACTCTGGATGAAGTCGTCAAGCATCAAAAGCACTTCGGTGGTCACATTGGTAACTTGCTCTCAAACACCGAGATTTCTTCCAAGGATCCCTACGATTTGAAGGCTCTTAACAAGACCTCACGGAAAAAGTTGGACCAGTACCAGGTGTTTTTCTTCCTTCTCCAAACCCAATCACAGTACCTCGCTCGCTTGTTCCGGCGATTGCGCGAGGTCAACACTTCGGACAAGGAATATGAGCGGATCCGGCACTTGATGATGGGTCTCTTTGGATACTCCCAGAAGCGACGCGAGGAGTATTATCTCATTAAGCTCCTGGCACGGTCCGTCAAAGAGGACATTGAAAGCTTCACATCTCTTCCCGAATATTTGCGCTGTACCTCCTTCTGGAACAAGCTTTTTGCCTCATATGCCAAGTCATCACGCGATCGGAAGTTCATGCGCGAAGTCTTGGGGGCTGTCGTAAAGGAGTCCGTCATCGAAAACCCGGAACTTGACTTGGAGAGTGACCCGATTCAAATATACCGTTCCGCAATCAACAACGAGGAGCTTCAGACCGGTCAACGAAGCCGCCGACAACCGGATCTTCCCAGAGAAGAAGCGATCAGAGACCCCGAAACCAGAGAGACGTTCATTCAGCATTTGCAGGATCTTCGTGACATTGTTGACCAATTATTCCTTGGCTTCGAGGACTCCCTGTACCGTATGCCATTCGGTATCAGATATCTCGCGCAGCAGATGTATCAAAACCTACTCCAGAGGTTCTCTGGGGAGGACCCTGGATTGATTCTTCAGACGGTCGGCCACTGGGTATGGAAAAATTACTTCCAGCCTGCTGTTCTGGAACCAGAGAAGTACGGTGTGATCGATCGTGGCCTCACCCAAGAACAAAAGCGAAATCTTGGAGAAATATCGAAGGTCTTCGCTCAGATTGCATCTGGGAGACTCTTTGGAGCAGAGAACGTTTATCTGCAGCCGCTCAACAACTACATCGGAGACTCAATCCAGCGCCTAGGCCATATCTGGGGTCAGATGATCTCAGTCCAGGATGCAGAGGCTTATTTCGACATTGATGAATTCAATGATCTCTATGCCAAGGCCAAGCCTACCCTGTACATTAAGATGTCTGACATCTTCTCGATTCACCAGCTGGTGGCGTCTGAGATTAACTATATGTGCCCCCACCCGGATGACTTCCTCAAGGAACTTGTGCGCGAACTTGGCAATGTCAAGAGTAACGAGAACGAATTGATGGGCGTCAGCTCTACCGAGATCAATCTCACATTGAATCCCAAGTTGGCCCAGGTTGAAGGTAAGAGATCGAAACAAACCCCTACCTGTTCATTTTTCTAACTCTCCCTTCCAGACCCCGAAGCAGATGTCAAAACACTCTTTATGGAGACTAAGCGCTGCATCCTTTACATCATCCGAGTCCAAACCGGTGCCAACCTAATGGAAATCATGCTCAAGCCACCGACAGCTGAGGACGAGGAGCGGTGGCATACTTTGGTTCGAGAAGAACTGAGCAACAACAACTCTCGCCGAGGCGCCTACTCTGAAGCCAATAGCTTAATTGATATTAGTGCTATGAGCTATTCCGAGCTCAAGGGCATTGCACTCGAAAACATCCTTCGGCTTGAACAGAATGGTAAAATCAATCGTCACAACCATTATCAGGATTTGTTGAATGCCATCGCCATCGACATCCGTACTAAGCATCGTCGGAGAATTCAGCGAGAGCGTGAACTAGAGGGTGCTCGGTTAACCTCTCAGAGGCTCAGCGGCCAAGCCGTCTACCTAGACCAGCAGCTCAAGACATACAACGATTACATTGAGCAGGCCATGATCACATTACAGAACAAGAAGGGAAAGAAGCGATTCCTGATGCCGTTCACCAAACAATGGGATCATCAACGAGAGCTGCAAAAGTCCGGCAAGATATTCAAATTTGGATCCTACAAATACTCTGCGCGCACTCTGGCGGACCGAGGTGTTCTGGTTGCCTGGAAGGGCTACGCCGAGCGGCAATGGGATCGGGTCGACTTGACCATCTCAAGTAACGAAGTTGGTGTATTCACTATTGACGGGAGCAGCGGTGTCATGATGATTCCCGGCGCCAACGCACAGGTACCGCTGGACGACTTGCTGCAAGCTCAGTTCAACAACACGCAATTCATGGACTTCTTTGACGGACAGATGCGAGTCAATGTTAACCTTTTCTTGCATTTGATTATGAAGAAGTTCTATAACGAGTGAGAGTCATGGCTTATGGACTTGATGAGGGATGAATTGCGTGCGCATTCTTATTGATTTTATTATTTTTCCTGTCTTTTTTTTTCACTTTTCTTTTCTTTTTCTTATTGCCTTTTCTTTTTGTTTTAAGATACCATGGGTATTTTGTTGATTTCGATAGCGATAGCGTTCGGTCTATACGGGCGAATAACATGTACACAGTATGATACCATTCAGTATCAATTGTAAAACAATTCAAATTTCCAGAAAACTCTTCAAGTGAAAAATAAGAATTTAAGTAGAACAGTCGTTTATTGTAGCCATTGGAAGTATACAAGGCTTGGTCAGGGGTTGCCACGTGACGTGGCGCATTCAATCGGGTTGCCAGCTGGAAACCGGGCATCTTCCCCCCTCCAACTGTTCACGTTAGTCCTGAGGGATTTCTGATTCCTTCTGTGCTAGGCTTCCAATTGCCTGTGCTGCTATTATCTCTTTTACTAGATCCTCGTTTCCCCATATTTGTCCTGACGACCAGCAGTCACCCCTCGCCATGGATTTCTCCAACCTCAAAGAGCAGGTCAGCAACATGTCCTTGTATGACCTCAAGGCCGGTGTTCGCAAGGTGCAGAATGGTAAGTTTGAATTCCGCTTGGTCCGAGTGCGTTGTGAACGAAGCCGAACCAGCTTGGATGTGTCTTACAATCTGCGGGAACTGATTTGATTCCGTCATAGCTGTCATGAACTATACCGAGATGGAATCCAAGGTTCGTACGCAATCGCCTCTGCACGAACCAACATGGCCTTTTGCAGGGTGAAGATGAGGAGATTATGCGATCCAACGCTTACACAAGTTAGGTCCGGGAAGCTACAAACAATGAACCCTGGGGTGCCTCGACCACGTTGATGCAGGATATTGCCAATGGAACGCATAGCTAGTCAGTCCATCTTGCCCGATCTTACCCACACCAATGCGCATGCGCTGACCTTCCGTTACTACAGCCAATTACTAAATGAGATCATGCCCCTTATCTACAAGCGGTTCACCGACAAAGCTGCAGAGGAATGGCGACAGATCTACAAGGTAAGAGAAGCATGGTTATCTATGCGGATGCGCTATGGCTAACACTATTTTCCCTCCAATTTACAGAGTCTCCAGCTCCTTGAGTTTCTTGTCAAGAACGGTTCCGAACGAGTCGTTGATGATGCACGATCCCACATGTCGTTGATTCGGATGCTCCGGCAGTTCCACTACATTGATATGAACGGCAAGGACCAGGGTATCAATGTGCGCAACCGGTCGTCCGAGCTGGTGAAATTGCTGGGTGATGTGGATCAGATTCGGACCGAAAGAAAGAAGGCCAAGAACAACCGCAACAAGTTCAGCGGTTTCGAAGGTGGTATGGGTGCCGGATCAGGCATGTCTAGCTCGGGCTCAGGCCGTTATGGAGGCTTTGGTAGCGACAGTATGGGGTACGGTGGATACAGCGGAGGTGTCTATGGTGACGGCGGTGGCTTCGGCGGGGAATCTGGCGGGCAAGCTGGCATTGATTTCCAGGACACTGGACGCCGGCCCAACCGCTTCGAAGAGTATGACGAGTATGACGAGGGAGATGCCCCCGCACGTCCGCGTGAGCCTGCCGCCCGGGCGAAGCCCCAAGCAAAGAAGCCCGAGCCAGCTCCTGCGCCTGTAGCGGACCTCTTCGACTTTGGCGACGATGAGCCTGTTACTACCACAGCTTCCACCTCAGCTGGCAAGCAACCTGCCGGCAGTGCTCTCAACATACTAGACCCAACCCCGGCTGACGACGACGACTTTGACGACTTCCAGTCCGCAACCCCAGCTACCCAGCCTACTCAGTCGTCAAACCAGTTCGCCATCCCCCCCTCCAACTTCCACTGCCAGCACAAGTTCGAACACCCAATTCGTTGCACCTCAGCCAATCTCGGCCTCGCAGGGTGCCAACATCAACGGCCTAGTTGGCTTCAAATCGGCCACTCCTACTCCCTCTTCCAGCGGGATCCCCACTCCCATTTCGCAGATGGCCCCGATGCAACAGCAGAAGCCCTCCGGCTACCAAGCTGCCACACCCAACTACTTCACCTCTGTCAACGTGCCCCAACATTCTGGATCCTCTCACGGTGCCACCTCCATGTCCTCTATGGCTTCCCCCACCACAGCAAACAAGCCAGCTTCAGCAGCAGCAAAGAAGTCCTCAGGTGATGCCTTCGGCTCTCTGTGGTCGACCGCCAGCGCCAGCGCCGGCATCCAGAAATCCAACACCGGCACAAACAAGGGCCCCAACCTTGCCAGCATGGCCAAGGAAAAAGCTAGCGCCGGTATCTGGGGCGCTCCCGCTCCCTCCAGCACCTCCTCGACGCCGAGCCAGCCCCAGCACAAGCAACAGTCTAGCTCAGCCTTTGATGATTTGCTTGGTTAATCACCTAGCAAAGCAACTCGTTATCCCTATTCTTCTTCTTCTTCTCCCGCTGAGTCCATGCTCGCTTCTTACATTTGCGATATGTGGCCATGATTTTAGCATTCAGAATTCCAGATTTGACTACGTGTTTTTTTTATATTTTTTCTTCTCTGCTGTTTTTGTATACTCCATTCCATTCCCATTTGTTCTCTTCTCCAGTTGGTTCCCTAGGTATATCTGCACTATAGCAGAGCAGGCTGTGAAAACTTTTGCTTTTATCTTCGCGTAAAAAAAAAGTGTGTTGTCCTCCACGATTTTTCTTCTATACGTGTCCCAAGGGCTGGGCATGTCTGATCTCCGCATATTTGGCGTTTTGCTAGTGGCGCTGAAAGCAAACTGTCCATATCTCGCCGAAGAATGATACATCGAGATATGCTTTATCTATCGGCAGTACGGTGGTATTTAGACATACATTACGGCTTCTTCATTGCTCGTACTTGTATTTTGTTTACGGTCTACTCCCTGCCCTCCCTTACTGGACCCTGGATCTCACATCTATGCGGCCTTGTGATGTGTTTTTAATTGATGTATGTGGAGGCACTAAAAAAACATAAACTGCATATCTGTGCAGAGGACCTTTCCATATATAACTAGGGATACATCTTATGATAAGTGGTAATTGAATAGATTTGAATCGGCATTATGCTGATGCTCATTGATGCTGGTATAACGGCTGCGCTGAAGGGAACTAAATACAGGAGAGGGCGGACGATAGGGGGTAATAAGAGACATAGTGGGAAGACAGAACAGATAAGGCGACAATATGGCGGAAGACTTGGGGTATGTAGTTAGAGGATCCTCAATCCTCTTCAATCCCAGGTTATGTTTCCCCGATGTGTATGATTAGAAGACATGAATTGGAATCGTGAAGGAGAGATGATATACGTTAATAAAGAGGAACTTGCGGTAATAATTCATCGCGGGAAGATGGGTTGAACATGAGGGTAGAAAGAAAGAGGAGGGTTTATATCTGACGAAAGCGTCCGCAGAGAAGGGCGAAAAAAAAAGACCTCTTCAGATAGAGCTCTGGAAAAGGTCTCGGAGATTGGGTGGTTCGGGTTTGGCGGGTGATCCACCAAGGTGCTGGTTGAGTGTTCATCGATGAAACAACTCATATAGTGAGCCAACTATATATGTTTCATGTCTGAAATCTTCCAGGTCACAGGGAAGTGGAGGGTGCCAAGCTTTGGTTATCGGCTGTCAGAGTTTCATGGCGGATTGCAACTTGAAACCGACAAGCCATCTCTCCAAATGATTCGTGCACGGAGCACCGCCAAGGTTTTGTATGGAACAAAGCCATTCAGGGCTAATGTTCGATTGGATCAGGTTTTGTTCACCGTACTAGAGCGCTTATCGGCGTCCTCCGCCACTTTACCAGTCGGGATCTTAGTATCCGACACAGGTTGAGATGCATCTGTGTCTTCCGTTGAAGTCGCAGCTAGGGTATTGCCGTTTCCATTGGTGGCTTTGTTTTCAGACTGGGTGTTCACGTCAGATGCAGGCTGCTGCTCTACCTGGGTAGGTGTAGATATTTGGTCAGACTCAGTGGAGCCTAGATTGACATCTGCAGTCCCGGTGACCTCAGGGTTCGGTTCCCCGTTCAACGACGTTAAACCTCCTTCGATGTCTCGCAGAAGACGCACAAACTCCTCCGGGACAAGACCATTCTCCCCTGTCTTGGGATCTTCTGCAACTAGCCAACCCTGACCATGCCGGTATGAAACATAAATCACCTGGCCCTCGGTAAGAGGCAGTTCATTCTCATGCTCTCGTGTGAAATCAAAGAGTGCAACGGCTTTTCCATGCATCTCTTCATCCGGGCAGCCAATGGCAAACTGATAGTCTCTAGAGTATCGGTTTCCGCCAGGGATTTCATCTTCGGACTCAAAGCCAGGGTCATGTTCATAGCCCTGCTGCCCACCTGGGGCGTTGTATCCCATGATGGAATAGCGTCCTTCATTTGCCGGATATGTCACATACTCACCGCCTGGCCCATCATCTGACGTGTCACCATCATTTACATAATAAGTCTCACTGCCATCGGCGTTAATGCCAACAAGCATTCCGCGATCATTGCTAACCGCCTGACCAGTTCCAGACATGACCCTCTCATCTACAAGACCATTTATGTCGGAAGACTTCTTGCGATGACGCGAGGTCACAACTGGGCTATGCAGGTCTTCATCCTCGCTGTATGGTGGTCCATCCCCAAAGGACATGGCTGGCAACTGTTGGTGGACATGGCTAATCTGAGGTTCTGTGCTCGATTGGCCTGTTGACCACCCCCGCGAAATATCCCATGAAGGTGGTGGATCGGAGAGGCGTCGATGTTCACTTGCCGGTGTGGAGACCCCGGAGGCACGAGGAGGGGGAGGCCCGTAATGGAGGGGGTGGGTGGACGGGTAGGCGAAGTCTCGCACAAGAGCATATGGAAGGCTGGTATGGAAAATGGGGAAGACATGGGATCCTGGGCGCGAACGATTTTGCGATGCAAGCGAGACATTGGAATAGGTGGAGAGCCGATCCTTCGGAAGCGTCGATGATCGTTTCACTGTCCCATCGGTGAGGATGGGTGGCAGCACTGAGAGATTGTTTGTGGACAGAATATTCTGCGATGATGTGGGAGAGGACATCATGGTTGACATAGAGAACGACCCAGAATTGGGTTCAGAATGAGGAATAACGGGGCGGATCTCAAAAAAGAAAATGTGGGGTTGTTCATCGGTCGCGTGGTTAGCGATCTAGTTTCGCATTGCGATTGACGTAGTCCAAGTTATTGTAATTTGTAGTCACAGACAGCGGGTGTTCCTTCAGTTCGAACAATAAGGGAGGTATATCCTGTGAGCGGAGATCGAGGAGATATTGGGTTCAGGTACGATATAGCAAGCGCCAAAGTCGTAAGGGGCCAAAAACGATTTTAGGTCCGTGTGGTTCAAACAAGGGGTAGCCCTTGAATGTCAAGCTTTTCGAGCCAAAAAAAAAAAGGATGTTTATCCCAAGGGGCTCCGGTGTGGTGAACGGTGAATGGGTGGGTAATCGGCAAACGACACGAGGGAGGGGGGCAAATGTGGTCCGAGTGGAACGCCGAACCGCGACGGGGAAGATATCACAATGAGAAGATGATATCAACGAGAAAAAGCCAGCGAGTTTGCAAGGTTTGCGTAGTAGAATATACGTTCAAAGTGGGATTGGCGAAATCGAGACCGTTGTTCCAGCCGTTTGTCCCGCGATCTCGAGGGCAGGGAATTGCTAAATATAGCAGAAAACTGCAGAAAGGGCCAATGTCAGATACAAATGTAACGGAGGCACAGCGCTTATGCGGGAAAGAATGTGCAGACCGCACGGTGACAAAGATTAGGTCAAGGCCACATGGGAAATGAGAAATTTGAGGAGAAATAGACTCGCGAGTGAATGCTCGGAGATTGCCATACCTGTCTAGGTTGTAGGTACTGGAGTAATGATCAGCGCCTAGGTGGGTTTGGGGATCGGGGCTGTTGGTCGTTGGGACAATATGATTTATCCCGATGGCTGTAGCAAAGGAAGCAGCAGGAATCAGCCGATATGCAAGGCAGCCGCTCAAGAGTCACAGAGTTGGGCGTGTGTGAATGGGTGAAGCTTGAACCCGTCGACAATCACGTGCGACCCAACCTTAGCGTGTTTCAAATCTGGTTTCGTCTATTCCTGTTTGGGACTGAAGGCTATATATGGAATTGTTCTACTTCAATGTCTTCAGGTTCATTTATGTATGTAGGGGGCATCTGATACATTGATTCAGGTTAAAAGGGGATACCTAGGTAACTAGCTTACGATGGAACAAAAGGTTTGTTATTTCATTTAGATTTTTAGTCGCATTGTCCTATCTTGGATGTTTGGGTCTTTTAACCTCATTTTATGTGGGTTGACTCCCAGCCATAAATACAGTGCTAGTGCTGATTTCCCAATCGGTCACTGTGACTGTTTTAGGTTCAACCCCTGTCGCAGCTAACGATGTGACAAAAGTGGTCGGCTGAGAGGATGACTGAGAGGATGGCTGGGCGGATAACCGAGAAGATATCGCACCGCCAAGTGCATCAAACTGCGAAGGGATTGCAGCATTGTTGAGATCTTGGTCAGTCTCATAGTCGCTCTTGATTGCCTGCTTGCCGACATTGTTCACCAAGTCCACATCCATACAAGTTGTGTAGATTTCGGCCTTTCCGTTGGGGTATGTGGGATCATCACCGGCAGCGGTGGGCCAGTCCCACACCCAATAGAGTGTGTAGGGCTTCCCACTGGGAGCATTGGAGGGCAGTTGAATATCCTGCTGGCACCAGAGGTCTGCTCCCATCCGTGCGTCTGCTGTGTGGGTATACTTTGTTTGTCGAGTCTCTGAGATTTGCCCTGAATTGACCTGATAGCAACGGCCGTCGTCGTAGTTCTGCACTGACAAGAGTACACCCCGCCCATCACCCCCAGTGCCATCTTGGGTCCAGACACCATAGACATCAAGCAATTTCTCGCCGGTCTTGGGTTGTGTGGTGCCATATACGTAAACGGTTCCACGGTTGGCGGGCTTTCCTGGCTGGTTCTGGGGAAGTGTCACATGGCCGTTCTCCTGGTAGCGAAGAGCAATCGCCGCGCCAGCGCTGGCTTCAAGCCGAGGGCTTCCCTCTGACTGGGTTTGATCCTGCTGGGTGTCTTTGCACATTTTGTCGGTTGGCAGAATCTGAGTCACATTTGCTCTTGTGTTGGGCGGGATCAAGTAGGTCATGGTAGTGTCGCTAAAGCCCGATGTCGTGCGCAGGTAGTTCCCTCGCGCATATCCTGGGGTGCCGATGAAGGTTCCATTTGGAGCAATGAGGGTGAGCTCTTCCACCCAAGAATGGGCTTGTGTTGGGGTGTATAGAGCAAGGAGCACTATCAATAGGATGATCAACATCGTGATAGTGGTTTTGTATATGTAGGGCTCGAGGTCAAAAGGTGCAAAAATGAGGGCTTGTAGATTTTAAGAGGACGACGGCCGGCGGCGTCAACTCGAGTAGGTATTGCAGTGTTTTCTTTCTTTGATCGCACCAATATGGAACAGAGGTGAGAAAGGGAAGTGCCGTATTTATTGAGTGTAGAAGATCGATGAAGCGGCCAGGTCGAAGGCTGCAACAATGGGCTTTGTCGAGATGAATAGAATCATTGGGATGATTGACCTGTGACAATAGGTGTGAATAGACAATGGGTTGATTGTTGATTTTTCACCCAAACACCCCCAGGCTGCAACAAAAATAAGAATAAGAATGGGTATGAAAAGGTTTCAAGGGAATCTGTTACACATAAAGAAACCATTGCCTGACTTCGAGTCTTGTGCGTCTAATTGGAGAGGCTCTGAGCCTGATACTAAACTATCATCGTTACAATGAAAGCTGTTAATAAACTAAGATACAGGCCCAATCCCCTGGCTTCTAGACAAAGTAGGGAATGATTGGATGAGAGGGCTTTCTCGGGAGATATTTAGAGTCACGGAGTATTTCGAGACATGCTTGGTTCCGCTCCTGGCGCGTAGCCGTGACATCTGCATGACTTTAGGTGCTCGATCTTCGAAGCTTGCAAATATGTTGCAGGTCTGCAGGTCCTTTGGCTCAGTAAGCACGGTCATTGGCTGATTCGCGGCCCCTGGGCGCTTCGCCGCCGGAGTCGAAACTAACAAAAAAAAAGACCCCCTTGGATCTGTGAGGGAAAATGAAAAACAAAGACTCTCTTTAGCGCTTTAATTTCCTGAAGATTGCTCTGTTTGCATTTTCCCATCCTGGTCACCTGCCATAGGAGCCCTATCCACAGAATACATGATACCTCTGATTTTCAACAATCTTGGCTATATTTGTCACAAAAATTAACGAGAGATTCACCGTAATCTTATTATTATGTTATTATTTTCTGGAGGGAAGGATATTATGCTAATGACAACGAAATGCCTGTTTCATTTGTTTGGCTTTGAGGCAGCGGCAGAGGCTCATCATCCCACTCCAACGTCACCCCGGGACTATCTGAGTATTACATATATATACATTTTAAGTGGCCCAGGGTTTGTTAGGCTCTCATAAATGCTTTTAGTAAGTTCATTTAGTCTCACAATCCGATTTAGAGGAATACTATCCATGGATCGATTTGAAGTTTCTTGCATACTATAAAATATGGGTAAATTATCCTAGCAAACACCACATTGTGGATGACCAAGTCGGGTTTCTTCATTGAACAGTTCACTGAGACGTTGAAGGGAGTGTGCCAAGTCGAGATTTCTTCTAGCAAAAACTTTGTCCCAATGATGGTCGCCTAAACAAAGAAATGCTCCGCCTTTGATAATGCCCAAGGCGAGATTAGGCATGGAGACGAAGGCGAGGGACGGGAAGGTCTCCAGCGGAATCGTCAAGTATGGATCAAGAAGTGTATGGGAACCCTGTAGGTAGTCCCACATAATCTTCGATCTGATCAAGTTGAGCTCAGGGTTGTCGCTTAGGCTGAAGTGGGTTGGTGATTCAAACAATCGGATGCTGCTTGGAGTGTATTTTTCGCGCAAAAGGTCATAAATAAGTATTATTGTTTAGGCAAATGCGTCACTCATGCATCAAGTTCTTTTTGGGCTGGTGCAATGACCACACCTTGACTTCTACTCCATTGGAAGGAGACTTTGAGCGGCTCACCCTTCACGGTATCTCGTCTTGTGCTGGAAATATTGTCGACACGAATTGCGACTCGGCATACTTGCACGAGGTGAACGAGCAATGGGTGAGTGCGGAGTTCCTGGCCGTGAAACAACTGTGTGCAGCACCGATCAAAACAGCTTGTATATTATAGCTTCTCTTCTTGCTTCTATTGTAAAGACGGTGGTTACAGAGCGAAATGGCTCGGTAGTTGCAACAAGGGTACTCGCGGCATATAATGAGGTACCCCGAGAATGCTCTCTACCTAGGTAATGCGTGTTTTATTATCGGCTACCCTATTGTTGGTGCGATGGGCATGGAGTGGAAGAGGACAAACAAACGTAGCGAGGAAGGAAAGACAGAAGTTGACGCTTCTCAGAAATCCGATTTGAGTTAATGGCAATTTGCTTACAGCCAAGAATACCCGGGGTTTTTACATTGGCATGATTGACAGCTCCATAGTTTACTTTTTTTTGTTTCCATGAGAGCATTATGCCGTAGAGAAACAAAATGGGACTATTGGTGGGATCTCTATTTGTATGGAACAAGAATGATTGACCAAATTATGCAGGCTCTGTTATTAGGGGACGTAAGATTTATAATCTAATCTATTAAGATCAAGGTGGTATTGGGGACATCATATGTGAGAACCCTGTGGTGTGATTGTATGTCACATTTGATGTCTTCCTAGGTGTGTACGAAGGTGGCATAAACTGTGCAGATGACTTTTCTATATGTAACCTTGGATAAACTTTCATAGGCAAACTGGCAAATAGCAAATACAGGCTTTGAATAATTGCTTTGTTCACAATGTTGGGTACTTTGGGTCTTACATATGCACTTAGCATTCAGCAGGATTTCACTATCGCTATCACCCTGCAGAACCACTTAATGCCAGTACACCTATTTACATAGGCAGAAGAGACTCAGACAAGCTTCGTACTAAGAACATCGATAACATCATCCCCGCTATCAACATATCGGGGGATATCGCCCTTGCTTCGTTTGCAGAGCAAGATAGAAACCGTGACATGGGACAGGAAAGATACACGTTAGATGCGGCCGTAGATAAAATTTCATTTTCAAGGCAATGGATCAATCATAATCACACCGTATCAAAAGCGAAGACGAGCGCGATGAAAGATGCATGCGCAATAAGCAGCCACCTGGGGGCAAGGCTGCCTAAATGCAAACCCAGCCTGGGCGCCCGGGTTTACGGGATTATATAATGCTCAGTGAGTGCTCCAGGGCTGGAGGTGCCCCGGGGGTCCTTGGCTTAGGAGCCAGGTCCAGTGACACAAAAGAGCAAGAGGTGAGCACTAACACGGAATGGGAAAGCCACCTGAGGCATCTCAGGCACCTAAGGCACCGAGGTGAGAAGTTCAGCAAACTCCCATTTACCGGAATAGTCGGGATTCACCGAGTAAACGATCTTATCTTTTTCTCCTTTTAACTTGGCAAGCTCGGTTACCGAGTTTATTATGGATACATGGAGTCTGTGTCGGGTGAATCCGAGAAGATGATTTGACTCAGAGTTATCAGATTTTTATCAGATTTCTCCGTAGCTCCACTAGGTGGATTCCGTTTCACAGGCAGAGAAATTGAGTGGACTCTTTTTCTGACCTGGAGTTGCAGATTGGACGCCGACTACATTCGTAGGTTTTTCGACTTTCCTCTTCAGACTAAGGGCAGTGTGGCTGACGTGGACGGAGTAAACCCTCATTTGAATACAGGGCTAAGTAACCCTGGACGAAAATGAGTGGAGTCTGTGCTGATCGTTCTCTCCCACATTCTGTTTTATCATGTAAAGACAAGATTTGGGAAATATGATATCCCGAGATTCAAAAGAATCCATAAAATTCAATTCAGGCAAGATAGCAAGGTATGTGTCGCATGACTATAGTTGAAAAGGATCGACAATGCATGAAAAAGAAAGGCGTATCAGAGATAAACAAATGCCGGTACGGAGTACACACCCATAGCTCCAGTTTTGGGTTGTACATTGTACGAGGCGCCCTGTACGGGAGTTTTTATTTGGAGGTTTTGTCTAAAGGGTATTGCATACTGCATATACTAATAACCCTGGTGGTACTTTATATAAATACATAAATATTCCAATATTCCCATATTCCTCAATATTGTTGTCTTTAAGCCACCAGATGCAGGTTGTGTATTAAATAATGTAGCCTGGATGGTAATCCTACATTACTCCGTTCATATATAGAAAATCCATTCCCTCCATGAATGTACAAAATAATATGTCAGATTGATATTGTTCTATCCATTCTTCTTACACCCCCTCTCTCTTCTCTCTCATTTTCTTTGTTTCTCTTTCTCTTTATAAAATACCAAAAACCCTCTCCAAGAAAAATAAATTACCTCGCAGGAAACCCGAGCAATTCCCCACTGGTTGGCGGCTTGGCGACCCCCGTTGTCGGCGATACTTAATTCCAGCGGTCTCGGGCAAGTTATTATTTTACCTTCAGGGGGGCCCTTAGTTTTTTCCCTTTTACCTCCAATTCCAAGGGCTGTGCCTTGAGTTTCTCGATTTTTCCTGGTATGTCTTCTTTTGGTCCGGATATTGGTGACTCTAACTAAGAGAAAAAAATATAGCCCGGAACTCTGCCTAGTCCCTCAACACCGACTTGTGCAGCCCACATGCGGTCATAGAATTATATCCTAATTCAAAGATTTTCCTCCGGATTGGTTTTGGTGTAAGACATCACCCCACGACGGCTTTCCTCGCAGGTTCTGGTCCTTGCGGACCGTCTTAAAACTCCCCCCAACGCCTTCAACAGACGTTCTCACCGCTTCCTCCGCGACTCGTCACCATGGCTACCTCGTTTATCTCCAAACGCCTTCGCTCGACTGAGGAAGAGCGCGAAACTCAACCTAGCTGGATCCGTCGTCAGATTGTATCGGGCCTCCAATCCATATCTCGCCGGGCCTGTGTGCACCCTATTCACACACTCGTGGTGATTGCAATCCTTGCTAGCACCACCTATGTGGGTCTCCTTGAAGGAAGCCTGCTTGATACCTCCAAAGACCCACGAAGTGTCGCGGGGCAGGTTGACGCCGATGCTCTTCTCCAGGGAAGCCGCAATCTGCGACTCGGTGAATCAACTTCGTGGAAGTGGCAGGCGGAAGACGCCTGGACAGACTCCCAGGTGAGCCCATCTCCCATCTTTTCCTCTTTTTAGGTGCCGAGAAAGAAATATTAACTCGATAAAATCTTAGACCGAGAAGCCTG